AAAAAAAAAGAAAAATAAAGCAAAATTTACTCTCACTAAAAAAAAAAAAGAGAAGAAAGCTCTCAACAAGATGGATTGACTCAGTGATGGTGGAAATGGGTCAGGTGTGAGGTTGGCTCAGGATAAGGCCAAGTTCAGAGACATTGCTTATAGGATTGCTGAGTTGTGGTTGACATGACGTCACATAACAACAACTTTCGTTGACCATTGTGAGATTCATTCATGCCATTTAAGTGTAATAGTACATTGTTGCTTCTTTTAATGTATGGTATTTCATTGTGTGAACATATACCTAAGTTGTTGTTGATATATGTTCACACAATGAAATGCTATACAACATCCTTGTTTGCTTAAAAAGATAGAGTGTTTGTCTAATGTGCATAAGACAGGATGGATGCAAAAAGACAATTATTTGTTCTTGGCCGAGCTCTGCACAACATTTTTTTCTGTGAGCATTTTGTCTCTACAAAAGTCAAACTACCAACATACCTCCCTGACCCAGGGGAGCACTCAGCTCTTTCCCTGGATGAGAGGAAGGGATCAGCCAAATGTATGAGAGAGAGCTCAGGAGGCCAGGCAGGAAAGAACTTTCCTGTTCCTATACACACCGGGGAAGTTTCTACCAAAAAAAAAAAAAAAAGAAAAAAGAAAAAGAAGAAGAAGAAGAAAGAAAACACAGCCTGAGAGATTTGCAAGTAAATTGATGGAAGTATTGCAGGAGCTTACCTAGTGCTCCTCAAATTCACAGCCTTGTGGGAGAAACGGAATTGGTTCCTTTCACCTCTTCCGCCCTTCCAGCCCCTCCTTTTTCCTGCTAACTACTGCTCTCAGCGCTTAATGATAATACCTCTGGGCCGGCCACACCCTGGAGTGCAGTCCACCATTGAGGGAGGATCCTAAACTGTTCTCCCAGGGACTCAGGAAACGGTGTCACCTGAACAACCCAGGGCCTGTTACTCCACAAAACGCCGTTCTGTTGCATTCGTGTGTGTGTGTGTGTGTGTGTGTGTGTGTATACAAATGTGTGTGTGTACACATACAAGATCACTTTTCTTTAAAGGTGATTAATTCCGTTGCACACCAAAATCAATGGCAAGAGGTAACCGGGAGTATGCGAAATTACCTTCCTCCCTCGTGCCTTGCAAAATGACAAGTTCGCTGGCAAATTGTTGTGTGTGGGTATTGGTAAATTTCCTAGTAAAATGGAATTTCTAGTGAAGGGTTTTGGATAGCAATGAGAAACATGTATGTGTGTGTGTGTGTGTGTGTGTGTGTATACATATACTATGCATACATATGCATATACATAGGATATGCATATATATGTTTGTGATTATGTATGCATCCAGGGCAGACAGGAAAGAGCACTAAGCTTGCTAGGGTAGAGACTGCAGACTCTTGTGAGAGACTCTCTCTGGCCTAGGAACCAGCAAACTACCCAGGCTTCTGAAGATGCCAAATGGCTTCTGATGTGACCGAGGACTGGGTCCTGCAAATCTTGATAAGATGGCACCACAGTCCCCTTCCCACGCCCCTTGACAGAAAGGCTGTTGCCTCTCCTACTCCCGAGGGAAAACCAGTCTGTGGGTACAGGAAGATTTGCAAACCAGTCTCTCTTTGCAACCGGCGCTGCAACACAGCCGCCGGGGACAGTGGGCCGGGCTCTCGGCCATCCTGGCGGCGAGCGACGCAGCCTCCCCGAGGACGCGGGCAGATGCCGACGGTTCTGGCCCATCTGTCCCAAGAGGCCCGACCGGGCCTGCGCTCCCGCGTGCGCCCGCACCGGAGCCGGGAGAGCTCTGCGGCGCGGGGCGCCCTCGCCGGCCGGGAGCCGAGCTCTTTGTTCCCGGCCGCGCTAATCCCGCAGCCGCGCACCGGAGGCGGAGGCCTCGCGCCCGCAGCGAGCGCTCCTCCGCCCGCCTGCCCGAGGGGTTTCAGTAAAATGATGCCTGGGGAGCTGAAGGGGGGGGGGGCAAAGAATTTCTTTTCGAAAGTTAATCTATTTGCAATAACAGCTAGGAGCGATGGCGTTTAAATCCCCTCCTCAACGTCCCTGTTGGAAAGAGGAAGGATGGAAAGAAAGGGGGGTGGGGGGAGAAAGGAGAGAAGCCTTAAGTTTGTTTAGAATTTTGTATAGGATTTTGTTGTGCGATTTTGCTTGGTTGCTTTGGGACTGGGTCTTTTTTCCAAACACATCATGAAGGAGCGGGGTCAAAGAACATAGAATCTGACTAGCGTGCATTTCCCCCAAATTCAGGTACTGCAATTGAATCATCTAATGAGAAAATCGTGATAATGATGTTTTAAAACGAGTGTCCCTTGACTCGAAGAATTGCTACATCTCCTGAACCAGATTTCCTCTGCTTTCCTCCTTCTTAAACCCCAGTAATGGCACAAATGTGTGAGGGTTTGCACAGGAGAGGGCTTCCCCCTCCCCCGTAATTGTTTACACCCTAAGATGTTTTCTTGTCCTCAAATGAAGGGTTTTGGTGGCATTTTAAAAATCAAACAAACAAACAAACAAAAAACCCAAAAGTTACTACTATTACAGTGGTTTGAGTTAGTGGCCATAACAAGCCTAGAGCAGGGGACTCAAGGAGATGGGCAGCTGGAGCCGCGCAAGTCATATTTCATACACTTCCCACAAGAGAAATCTTTGCAAAATCAACAGACAGTAGCCAGCTGTGCTTAAACCTGACCTAAGATTTCAATTAAAATACTGAGCTCCAGTCCTTCAGGTGGAGCCCAGATCCCCAACTGAGGGGTGTGAGTCCCTTGACCAAAGAGCAGTGTCCCACGGCCACTGATCTTCGAGGTCGCGTCCAGGGTCAAGCTCCAGGGAGCCATAAACTGCGCACGCGCGCACGCCCGGAACCTCCGCTCTGCCGCGTGGGAAACACACAAACCTCCGGCCAGCTGGGGCCTAACTCTCGCGAGGTTTTCCCACCAAAGGCCAAGAGTTGTGTGTGGCCAAGATGGCGACGGCATGGTCTTTTTGAGTCTTGGACGAAGCTGGCCTGTGGGCTGAGGCCTCAGGGTCAGCCCCACCGCAGCCGTGGTGGGTCCTTGCCAGCGGACTCAAATATATTATGCGTCTTCGAGCGAGGGGAACCCGGGCAGAGGCCTGCGGCCTAGTGGGCCTCCCCAGGGCCGCAGCCTGGCACCTCTTGCACGGGCAGCCCACGCGGACCACAGTGCATCCCGGAGCGAGTACAGAGGTTGAGCCCCAGCGCTTCTAAAATGCAGTGTGCCAGCCTGGGTTGGCAGACGGCCTGTGGCCTCCAATCCTTCATCTCCTGTCTATCCCCTTCTGTCGCAACACACATTTAAAGAGCACGACCTCTTTGGAGCAGGAGCTTTGCAAGGCTTTGCTCTTCCATGAATGGATCCATGTTCCTGAAGCATCATCTGCTTATCCCTAGAGCCTCGTGTTGTCTTTGCCCGTGAATTCTTCTGTATTATAACACATATTGGAAATGCATAGGTAGGAAAACTTAAGTTATCATCAATTCTACTGAATTTCCCTCCACCAACTTTTCTAAAACTGTCCAGTTACAACACCTTGAGGGGTCCCTCTCTAAAGACTATTCAGTCTTTTGATAAACGAAAAAAGTAAAGAAGAAGATGCTGGGTATGAGTTTGGAGGATAGAGGGGCAGCAAATCGAAATCTCAGCACTGCTTCAACCATTCACCGCGTTTCCCCAGTCCTTTATTATTCTGCCTGAAATCATCTCGTTTACAGAAAATATTTGTTTGCACTATTAGTTGGTACTGGAGTTAATTACTCAATGTGTTAACGTGAAGTAATATGTATAAAAGTAGGATCAGTGTTTATTGTGTGGGTGAGCTGTTGAGCGGTTCTTGAATAAACTGCAATTAGGGTTAGATAGAGATTAATTAACATGTGAGTGGCAAGGTGTAAAATAGTTTCCAACCCTCCACTTCAATATAATCTGCAGGCAAGGGAAGGAGAAGTTTGTGGAAGCTAATTAAATACTTTCATAAAAGCCAGTGTGTTCACCCAAGATTTGGAAAGAGGCACATTAGGGGCAACTTGTTTTTACCCAAATGTTTTCTTTCTCTGGAGGTAGCACTCCTTTTGTGACGCTGGGTAGGGAGAGATGGCTTGTGCAACCACAAAAAGCGCTTAGGGATGGCGAGGCAGGTTCACGGGAAGCGCTGCAGCCTGCTGGAGCTCTCAAAGGAGCAGATCTTTGGAGATGCTGCCGGGATCCACAGCTACCCAGTTTGGAAAGGGAGTGGGGTGCGGTGCTGGTGGCTGCATGGGGACCGGCAGGAAAGTCAGTCGGGGTGGAAATTCGGGTTCTGAGCGCTTGCTTGCCAGAGTTGATGGTGTGTCGGTGTTGGGTGAGTGTACGGCTTGTTTCATGTTTGGTAGTGGGGAAGAAGGGTAAACTGCGCTCCAGTTTTCACATGCACATGGACATGGGAGGACATTGGGTCTGCAATGCCACAGCTCTGAGTATCTGCTAAATTAAATGGGCTGCAGGAGAAATGCCCTTCCCGTGAGGAGCAAGCCTTCTAGGAGCAGCAAAATCTGGAAATTTGAGGGGGGCCTTTTAGGTGGACAAACTCGCAGGCTGCTGGATTTAGAGGCAGTTTCCGACAGCGTCTTGGCAGAGTGAGAAAATGAATCCAATGCTAAATCGCCCTCCAGGCCACTTTCTGCTCAGATCTCTTTGTTATTGCGTCTTGCCTTCCAAATACAGAGTCTTTCTCCTTTACCTGCCACATCCAGATACGAAACTGAGCTTCAGAGAAGTTAAAGCTGGGTAGGTGGGTAGAAGGAAAGTAGTTGTAAAGAGGGTTAGAGAGTGATTTACTGGCGTTAAAATGAAACCTTTCCTCGTCCCTTCTCTTGCTGGGTTTCCAGACCGATCCTGGAGTCCTCAGGGGCCGAGACCTCTGTGCCCTCAAGGTCTGTCAGCGACTGAAGGAGAAGGCTCTGCCTCCAGCAGCACTCTTCCGGGCTCCTCATGATGGTGTGTCTTTGGAGATGGAATTCGCCATCAAACTCTCAACCCTGTTTGCTCATATTATACCCACAGTAATCCTCTTAAACTGTGGTTGCGGCTGCAGAGCTCGTGGTCTTGCAAAAGCTGGCTGGCAAGATATAATTGTCCGGTGAACAAAACCGGCCAAAAGTTTTCAAAAACCCTTGCACCCTCTCCTCCTCCTTCCCTAAACCTAATTCTCTCGCGCGCGCTCTTGCTAGCCGCCCCCCTCCCCATAAGAACTCTCAGCCTCGACCACTTTTGTTGTCGCCAAGAGCACCCGGCCTGTTGAAAGTGCTGGAGCGTCTTTGAGCAGTTTGTTGTGATACGCAGGTGGAATGGTCTGCAAACAGATGGATTCAGCCCCTCCAAACGGAGCGCGGAGCGCGCTGCTTTTGTGCGCTCGGCACAAAACGCTGAATTCCTCCGAACTTACTTGGGGCCAGGCTAGAAAAGGGCCTTTTCTTCCCTCTGCTTGTACCTCTGGCCACACTAAGTCCTGCCCGCCCCCCTTCGGGCCCCCTCCTTCTCCCCTCTGATAATCCTCCTCTTTATTTTAGAAAAACACAAAACCCGGTTCCACGCGGTGCTTTAGTGGCTAAAAGTGAAAGAGCTGCCTTGGCAGAATTCAGCTCTATGAATCACTTCGGAAAATTGGTTCGACTGAATGGCTTTAGGAGGAAAAACGTTTTAATAGGATCCAGGGGAGGTTCTGCTGTTTCAATCTGCTCCTTAAACAGGTGGAGATTGGACCTTCTCAATTATACAAACAGTAAGTACCCAGCCGCGGGGAGAGCTGCGCTCGCATCTCCCCTGCGCAGCCCCAAACCAGCAGCAGAACCAGGCTTTGCCTCAGAAAATGCGATCGCAAATCAGCAATTCTGATCGATTGGGGTCTCAGCTAGTCCCCCAGCTCCTCTAGTCTACTCCCCGAGCCGTAGTCAGGGGACCGGCCACCGAGCGGGGGGCGCACCCGCCGGGCTCAGAGGCCCCAGGGACGGGGCACGCGGTCCTGCTCCTCGGGACGCCCGGAGGTCGTCCTCAGGCGGCGGGAGCTCTCGCCCAACCTCCGACGCCAGCCAAGGCGAGCTCGTTGCTTTTGCATAAATTAATATTTCCCCATTAACAAGTTCCCCCCTCCGAACGCGGTGCCTGCGTCCATGCGCCACATCCTAATGAGGTAATTATCATTTGCGCGTGTTCGGGGCTGGCGCCCGCTCCGCAGATAAATGGCAGTTTATTAGCACGATGCCCAGCTCGGCTGCGGAGGGCTAAGGGACACTTCTGCGCCTAGACGGGCGCGCTGGGGCCCTGTGGGGCGGCGCGTCCGGGGCCCCCGCCCTCCCTGCCTCTCCCAAACCTGTAGGCCCCCAAAGTTGTGAATCACGTAGGGAACTCTGCGTAGTCCTGAGTTTGCCCCCCCTTCTTCCCACCGGCAAAACCATCACGATTCTCCCCCTCCCCCTCCCGTCTCTTCCCTCCTTCGCGATGCGTAAAGCGCTCGCACTTTCCCGAGGGGAGTGCGGGCGCCAGTTGCCTCCTTTTAAAGTTTGAGGGGCGGTGGCGGCGGCGGCCGGCGGGCGCTGGGGAACACAGAGGCCGCTCCGAGAGCCGCGCCGCCGCCCATGTCATTCCACTTCAAGTGACTTCATGTGATGTCAGCTGAATGTAAAAGACAGCGATCTCACGCGGAGGGGAAGATGTTTGCCATCAAAATGTGACAGAGAAGACACGCTTCATGGCTCGGAACGCAGCTCCTTGGCGGTGGGGGAAAGAGGTAAAGGCGAGGTGGCCCTCCCGGTCCTCTTTAACTTTGCCCCTTCACTGTGGCTCTCCCAGGTCGCGGGGTGCAGGCCGGGATCCAGGGACCAGCTCTGGGGGGTAATGTGCGGCTTGCGCTTTCTCCTCTCTTTCTCGCCTTTTCTTTCCCCCCTCTCCTCCTCCCTTTCAAAGTCCGGGGGAGAGCCATGGGTCTCCGCGCGCGGGGTTAATGGACAGCAATTTGGGACCCTTGGGCGCACTTTGTTCTGCCTCTGTTCATTTGAATGCAAATGGGTGACCCAGGCCGGCAAGGTGCTTATTAACCCCGCGGTTTCCCCCCTGCTTTTCCCGGAATGCAGACTTAGGAGAAAGGCGCTCCGGCCGGCCAGCCGCGGCCCCGCGAGCCATGGCCAGCTCGGCGTCCCTGGAGACCATGGTGCCCCCCGCCTGCCCACGCGCCGGAGCGTCGCCGGCCACTTCCAAGACGTTGGCCTTCTCCATAGAGCGCATCATGGCCAAGACGTCGGAGCCCCGCGCGCCCTTCGAACCCCGGCCGGGGGCGCTGGAAGCGGATGGCAGCCAGGGCAAGAAGCTCCTCAACCTGTGCTCGCCGCTGCCCTGCATGATCCCGCTGCAGCCCCTGGGCTACGAGGTGCCGTCCAAGGCGCTGCTCAGCTACTCGGAGCTCTGGAAGGGCAGCCTGCGCGCGGGCGCCGGGGCCCCGGTGTGCGGCGCCAGCGGCCTGTGCAAAACCAACTGTGGCGTGTGTTGCAAAGCCGAGCTGGGTCTGGCGCCCGGCGCGCTGCCCGCCGGCCGGGTCATCAAGCCGCAGGCCATCAACCAGGCCGTGGGGCTGCCGGCCGCCGGCTCACTCTACTACTTCAACTACCTGGACTCGGCCTCCTACCCACCCTCCGAGCTGCTGCGCGGCCACCTCTTCCCGGCCGGCCTCGGCGCGCAGGCCCCCGGCGCCCTGGCCGCGCACCCCAAGCTCTTCCTGCTGGAAAACGCCAAGCTGGCGGGCCTGGCGGCCGACAAGTTCCCTCACGCGCCCCCGTACCCCCACAAGGAGCGCCTGGGAGCCCCGCTCGAGCAGGTGCTGAAGGAGAACTCGGGCCTGAGCACGGAGCGCGGCGTCGTCAAGGGCCACAGCAAGCTGCCCGGAGGCTCCGCGGATGGCAAGCCCAAGAACTTCACCTGCGAGGTGTGCGGCAAGGTGAGCCGGGGCTGCGGGACCCGCAGGGACCACCCGCTCCGGCCGCTGCTCAGGGCACGCCCATCCCCTCCTTAAACTAGGGAGCTAGCCTGGATCCCTGTAGGTCACTCGGAGCCTAGCTGGACCTCAGTTTCCTAGTCTGTAAAATGGGGATGGCCCTTGTCAGTGAGCAGATGGGACTCATATGAGCTGCAGCGTTTTGCAAACTGGAAGGAAGGGGCTCTGGTTTCCGGAGGGGGGTGGTGCTTCAGGGTAGGCTGTAGCCTCCCCCCAGGGCGGCTTCTACACTCTGGCGGGTATCATCAACAGGCCCCTCATGTGTCGTCCCCTCCCCCCGTAGGTGTTTAACGCCCACTATAACCTCACCCGCCACATGCCGGTCCACACCGGAGCCAGGCCGTTCGTGTGCAAAGTCTGTGGCAAAGGTTTCCGCCAGGCCAGCACGCTCTGCAGACACAAAATTATCCACACCCAGGTACGCGCCCCGGGGAGGCCCGGCCAGAGGGCAGGCCCCAAGTCTCAGTATTGGTGTTGGGGACAAGGTGGACGAGGGTCCCCCCCTTTCCTTCTCCTGTGAGTCCTAGACTGCCAAAGCAGCCTCTCTGCGCCTAGCTCCTAGCTCACCAGGCGCGCTCTCTTCTACGCAGGAAAAGCCGCATAAATGCAACCAGTGCGGCAAAGCCTTCAACCGCAGCTCCACGCTCAACACGCACATCCGCATCCACGCCGGCTACAAGCCCTTCGTCTGTGAATTCTGCGGCAAAGGCTTCCACCAAAAAGGTAACATTCCAGGCGAGGCCCTGTCCTCACCTCGGACTCAGGAGTCGCAGGCGGCAGAAGGGAAGAGGCATCCACGCGAAAGGGAGCTGGCGCCGCGGCTGTGCGCACAGCATTTCTTTGGAATCGGGTTTTGAAGGGTTTGGGTGGCAGCGCCCAGGTCCGGGTGGTACTAGACCTCTCTGGGCTCCGGGTGGGTGCATAGGGGAATTCAGAATTTGAGAAATGGGGAGGAGGGCAGAGGGGAAGAAAAATAGAGGAAAGCTGGAAGGAAGCCTGGTAAGCAACGGTTCCCTTTGTAGCTAGAATTCCCCTTTCAAATGAAGAATTTTCCAGGCAAAATCCAGGTCCAGGGATAGTCCAGGACTCAGGGAAAACGGCCTGGCACCCTGCTCTGATTTCCCAAAGCATATCTGGGTCCCTAGGTCGTGGTTGGGGGAACAAGAAAGAATCGTTTTAAAATTAAGAAGTTGGGGTGAACAGGGGAGCTGGACTGAGACTGAGTTCAAGTGAGCATCGTGGGAGAGGCAGCAGCCTGGAGAAGGAGGGAAGTTTGCCGGCCGTCCCGGGAGCTGCGGAGGGGGACACCCCGGAGCCCCAGGCTTGGAGGAATGGGGCCCGGACAGCCCTGTGGGGCTTGGGCCTCGGTCCAGACCATAGAGCCGGGGCTTGACGGAGACGAAGTTTGACAACTTCTTCCCTCAGAGAGGTCGCGCCCGCCTAACCAAGCGTTGCCTTCTCCTCCACGAGGGCTCAAGCAGCCCCGGACGCGGGAGGGCCCCCTACCCTTCCCCACCCCACCCCCTGCCTTCTCTGCTCTCCCGCAGGGAACTACAAGAACCATAAGCTGACGCACAGCGGCGAGAAGCAGTACAAATGCACCATCTGCAACAAGGCCTTCCACCAGGTCTACAACCTGACCTTTCACATGCACACCCACAACGACAAGAAGCCTTTCACGTGCGCCACGTGCGGCAAGGGGTTTTGCAGAAACTTTGACTTAAAGAAACACGTGCGCAAACTCCACGACAGCGTGGGGCCTGCCACCCCCTCGCCCAAGGACCTGGCTCGGACGGTGCAGAGCTGAGAGCCCAGGCGCCTCTCCTCGCTGCCCGCGCCGTCCCACTCTAAACCATATCCCACCTAGACACTTAACTGCTGGCCTGGGAGGAAGGAAAGAAAGAAAGCAAAACTATTGCAGAAAGGCTAGAATCTATTTATGGAAACCAGCATATTTTTTGGAAAGCTAAACGTTTCCTCGATGACTGGCAGCTAACGCGCGGCTCCCACCTTTGTATATTCAGGAAACTTATTTAAATCCAGTGCACTGCAACGTATTTAATTCAGGCTCCTGGGGCGGCCGGTGGGAACCCCAGCCTGTCGCCGCGGCGCCCGGGAAGAGCGCGCCGCTCAGCCATCTTTATACAGCCTTGTAAATGCTCCTGTACAGGCGTCCACGGAATATATGCACATATATGACTCAATAAACAGAACCCTAGTGCGCGTTTTCTTTGCCCCTGTCCCCTCGCCGCGAGATCAGCCGAGAGGAAGAAAAGGAAACACGTATTTTTGTCCCTTTTTCTCTAAAGGAGACTGACTTTGGGACTCCAGATCAGGGGTGGTCCTTTTGGTGGTGCCCAAGAGCTGGCGTGTCCAGGACCCAGGAGAGTGGGCGCAAAGCTTGAATACGGCCTCCTCTTGGAGGGTCCTGGTGGCTGACTGCTCTGGGCCTGGGGATTCCCATTTCGCCCCAGTGAGTGAGAAAATGCTAGAAAAGGTGGTAAGTGGCCTGCAAGGAGGGCGCTGGCTTTGAGTGCTTTGGGGAGCAAAGCAGCTCCCCCGAGGAGTCAGCAGCTACAACTGTGCGCCTCGGGGGAGCCCTTCCGGGCCGCGGTGTCAAGCCACCCACCGCGAAGTTGCCGAGGCAATTGCTGGCCTCTTAACCTGGGCGCTAAGGGACCCACCCCTCCAGCCATCAGGTTCCCCGGACGCCGGCCGCCCGGCCGCGGGAGGGCGCCCCCGAGCTCTGAAGCCCCCCGCGCCCCGCGCCCCGCGCCCCGCGCCCCACCGTCCGCCCACTTCCTGAGCAGCGGTCTGGGCTGCCGAGCGAGCGCTCTGATGAAATGAGCTCACGCTTGCTTTCTAAGTAATGACCCAAATTAAGAGAGAAAACAGAGACCCTTCAAACAGCATTACATTAATCATCTAATCATTCCCAGGAGGGGGCCGGCCGCCGCCGCCCCGTTTGATCCGAATCGGGATAATCAAGAGCTCGGATTACGGCGCGGCGCGCTGGACCTCCCCCTGCTCGCTTAACATCCGCGCGGCGCTTCAGCCCACGTCTGCGTGGGGGCCTCGCCACTGCGGAGAGCAGGCGCTGGGTGCCCCCATCCCATGGCCACTACAGCTGGAGGTCAGCTAAGGGGACGCATGGCTCGCCCTGCCACAGCATTTAAGGAACTCTTCCAGTGAGAGCGGATTATCTCCACTCCTGTATACAGCAGGTGCTCAACGCTAAACACCTTAGGGGCTTCCATAGCTTCACCAGGGTGGTGATGTTCACCATCACAACCCTCTCTTGAATGTTTACAACACCCTGCAAGCTGGAGATTGTGATCCCATTTTATGGACGAAGAAACTGAAGCAGAGATACGCGCTCAAAGACCTGCCCGAGGCCCCGGGGCTAGACAGAGAAAGGATTTGAACCTTCTGTTGCTGCCAAGAGAGCAAAATTGCCTCCAGTCCTCCTCGTTGGAGGAGGACGCTCAGAAGTGGGGCCCCAGGAAGGACACTGGGCTGTGAGGTGGCAGCTCTGTCCTGTCAGAACCGTCTGTTCGTTCCAGAGCCCCCACTCAGCTCAGACCATTACACTCGGGATGAAGAATCGTCGATTTTGTTTGCACGGAGGACGACGACAGCTTCCTCAGGCTGTCGCAGGGGTATTTTTAGCACCTCCGATTCAGAAATAGGAACGTGTACATTAGAATTCCATTTCCTGAAAGGAGAGCGTCCTCGTTTTTTCTTTTTTTTGTACCCCCCCCAGAAGTCTGGGGAGACGCAGCCAGGGGAGGGGGATGAGAAAGCGAGGGGGAATTTAAATGTTAGCTTGTTCTGGCTCGGCTTGCTGTAGAAAGATTGGGACCCAGAGGAATATGCAGATTCCACTCGGAAATCTTGGTGGATGCCACCATCCCAGGAAAGCCCCGCATGGGTGAGGAGGACTGAGCCCACGAGGGTATGGAAATACCCCTTGGCTCTTCCTCAACATCTACCCCAGCAACCTTGCAGCCCAGGTTTCCCAGTCAACCCCTTTCATTGTCCTCATACAAAGCTGAATTAGCCTTCTTGGACTCCCCACCTCCTTCCCCATCTCTGAGGGAATCTTTGGGTCACCACTCAGGTTAAATGCTTCCTTTCACATTCTGGAAAGGGCTTTGAGCACACGCATTGCTTTTCCATAAATGCAAAGCTCCTGAACACTAGGCAAAAGGCTTGTTGTGCACAGGACGTCAGAACCCATTCATAGCTGACTGTCTAGTGGGTATGCAGGGGCTCTAAATTGCAAGGGAGGAGACTGAGCATCTTTCTCACCAGGAGCAGCTGATGGATTAGAACCATGTGCCTTTGGGTTGGCAGCACAACTCCTTACCACTCCTTCCCATCAGAGTTCCCAGACCAGGAACAGACACTGGACACCTAGTGCAAATACAGTCTCTTGTAGAAGTGGGATGTCAGCGTTTGCCTGTGGGTGGAAATCATGGTCAAGTTCTCCTTGTTCTCAACCCCACCCCACACTTTTCTTGGTCTAGTTCCCCTTTTAAGGAAAAATTAATAAATAGTACTTCTATCCAGGGAAAGAACTTCCCTAACAATCAAGTGCAAGAACTTTGAGAAATTCTTCTGTAAAGTGACCTAGTGGCAAGAAGTTGTGCTGCAATCCCAAAGGCACATGCTTCGAATCCATCAGCTGCTCCGGGGCAGAAAGGTGGGTAATCCTCTCCCATGGAATTAACTGCATCTCAAAACCCACCTATGGGGTCAGTTCTGAAAAGATGGTACACAACAACAACAACAACAATGAGTTTTTAAAGGAGAAAGTGAAGAGGTGTCACTTATCTCATAACCCCGGAGAGATCTGTCCCAGGTGGCAGTTCATTGGGAAGAGAGCACCAACATTGCTCACTTGCATGAGGCAGCTAGGTGGGCCAGGAAGCATTCTCTCTTGGCTGCACATCTCTGGAGAGCTACTTTAACATGTGGGCCCAACCTCTATACCTAAACAGAGTTTCTTGTACATTCCAACATTCTTGAGGGTGCTTCCTCATAACCTGATTGTTACTTAACCTTCACACCAGCTCTTGTCAATGGCTCTCACCTGAAAAGGTGTTATTTCACATCTGGTGGTAATTGTAGATAAACAGAGTTCTTCTGTATCTGCAGGGGTTATCTGTTTTCAACAGAGTGGAAGCCAGTCGTCCTTGTTTGAAGATACCTGCTTCATTCAGGTGGGGGATTCAGGAAAATCCTTCCCCTGAGTGGGTCGTGCTAGAAGGAACAAAACCTGAATTATTAAATACCTTTCACAGCCAGCACACATCGCAAAGGCAGCAGCACTAAGTTCTTCCAGTACCCATCCTAGCTGAAAGCCTTCCTAGTTATGCGCCATGCATCGGAATTGAGGGGTGAAAGGCTCTGTTTTCTGATTCCCACACCCCCTTAATATTAAACTGTTTGCATGACTTGTAGTTTGCAATATTAATAAATGACTTAAACAAGGTAGTCATCAGCCGCATATTAATCTTCTAACCTCGATTAAATTGCAGAGGCCACCCTTAAAAAATCTTTTTTTTTTTTAAAAAATTAATTGCGGGGGAGGGGAATCTTGTCACAGACACAAAAAAAGCCTCCAATTATCTTTTCCCCACAAGATGTTTGTCCTGTCCACGACTGCTCACACTTCAGCAATCTTGCCAGCAAGACTCAAAAAAAAAAAAAAAAAAAATCGCCACCCTCTTCCAAAGCCACAGCCTCGTACATAACAGATTGAACAATCCTATTGCCTTAGGCGGGTTAGAGGTTCCTCCCTGCAAAGAGCGATGCAGAGAAGTTGCCAGCATCCAGACACGTTTTGGGGTGCACTGTGTTTGTTCTTGCCTTGGCTGCAGAAATGGACAGATATGGATCCCCACTTATTGTCAAGAGGGCAGGGGGGCTGCCTGAGCCCAAAGCTGAGGTTTAGTGCAACAGGGCGCCCAGGTGTGCTGGTGGTGAGTGGCTTGGGGGGTGGGGAAGAGAGGACCTGAGTCTTGAGAAAACGCTGGGAAATAAACAACCTCAAGGCAGCTGCGTTGCCCTTTTCCCTGCACTTCCCTCTCAAACGTCTGAGCAACCAGTTTGCTCCTAGAAACATGTTAATTGCCAACGGAGCTCATTAAGGCATGCACATGCAAAACACAGCAAGAAAGATTAAATGGACAAAAGCGCAATAATGAACTGTCAACAATCGGGCCCATCTACGCAACCGGGATCACTCAAGAATGAGGCATTTAGAGGCAACAAAGGATTGTCTGGGACAGGAAGAAAAGACGACCTAGACTTTTGTTTAGTCAACACAATTGATTACAAATGAGAGATTAACAGGATAGCTTCAGATTTTTTTAAAAGAGGCAGAAAAGAAAAGTCCAATTAAGTCCACCGAATGTTAACTACATTGCGTTCCATGCCTAGCCCCAAAGAAATTCTCATTAAACCATCCCTGGCGATCCCTTTTGGAAAGTAATTTGTCTCCCTGATGGAGCAGAGAAAGAGAATCGTGTAAAAGAAAGCGTTAGTTCTTGGCACAATGAGCTTAGGAGACACACTAGAAAGAGCCAAAGGGGGAGTTAATGAGCATCTGACAAACTGCTTGGATTCAGGCCTAGAGAACAGCGATGAAAAGATGAAATTGGCCAACAACTATTCTTTATATCAAACATAAAAAGGCCAATCTGAAATGGGGCTGCTCAAAACTGGTTGAAAGTACAGAGCCCAAGAAAGGAGAGCTAGGCCAGAGGCCTTGGTGGACAGTGGATGGTGTGAAGAGCTCAG